TGAAATTAGGCCAGTTTACTGGGATTGCAATAATTGTTCTTCACTTTTTGCCAGTCCATATTTCATTTGAGCAATCAATATTTATTAGATTGTGTGATTATACTAAATTGAGACAAGGCAACGGAAGAAGCAACAAGCTGGTGGTATCAAAGCCTTCTTAAGCACCTATACTCTAGTTTTCTCTTTAATTCATAAATCATATTCTTCTCTTTTAGGGTGTATGTGTGAGCCCATGGGTGTGTACACACACAAACATATGCATATATTTGGGAGCATTTGGACACAAAACATTCCCATACTTCTCCCCAACCCTTCTTTTAAGATGAGACCTGTAGGCACCACCTAATGCTGTATCAAAAGTTATGAGTACTGTTGCTAAGGCAACAAGGGGTGAAATTCATGCAATGAAGTATTAATGAAAACCATTAACTCTACTTGGTAAGATTTGTTTTCATACCCTTATTTCAGTGGTTAAAGAATGCAAATATCACAGGCTGTTAAACTGTAGGAAAATAGTAATAAGCGCTAGAATAAAAGTGGTGACAATAGGTGGATGTAAGAAATTAAAGGGGAGTTATAGGCTTTGTTAATTGTTAGCAGAGGTAAAGGAGAAGGAGTTGTAAGCATTAGCTCATAAAATGTGGATCAAGTTCCCAGCTACAGTGGTCAAGCAGGTTTAGCATGCTGGGACAATTAATAGACTATGCTTAAGGAAGGAAAATTTGATGAGAAAACAGGCACCATAGACACTAATGGCAGCACGAAGTAGAGGCAGAAATCACAGATCAAGTCATATTAAGTTGAAGCAAATATACAGTTTATAAGCAAAATTGTGATTCTTTACATTCATCTGAGGCTTCAAGTTGTAGTACAAAAATAGTGGGAGTTCAGTCAGTGGTCAACCATGAAATTCACTGGAGATAAATCATGATTGATTTGGGTTACTAATAAGCCCAGGGAAATAGTCTAGTAAGAAAAAAGCAAAATAGGTGCAGAATAATATGTACAGTAGGCTTTAAAAGTGTCAAGAACCGAGAACTGGGTTGGAAAAATATGCATTAATATTTGTTTGTATGAGCACGGAATACGTGAATTTGCCTCGAAACTGGTTCCATTAGTTGCACATAGGAAGAAAAATTAACTGGAAAAAAGACAGGAATAAAGGAGGTTGTTTTACTGAAAAAAAAAAAAA